GACTGTAAGAGTCAAGGTTCGTTTTTCCCATATTGATATCCCGGTGTTCCAAAACAATTTTGTTGTAGTTATTGTTTCCTTATTGAATATGCATTTTTGTCAAAAGTCACCTGACCCTGTGCTAGGTGTGGTGGTGCATACCTGTAATCCCAGTACTAAGGAGGCTGAGACAGGAGGATCACTGCAAGTTCGAGACCAGCCTGGGCTACAGAGTGAGCTCAAGGCCAGCCTGAGCTGCATAGTGAGACCCTGTCTCAAAGAAACAAACAAGTCACCTGACCATATATATTTGTGTCTATTTCTGCAACTTCCACTTGTTCTACTGGTACATACTTTACATAGTTGCATCTTTATACTAATACTACATCATCTTTTTTAAAAAATTTTATTGAAAAACAACAATCAATGAGACAGTTTCAAAGCTGATTAATAGGACAGTTTCAATAATTAATACCTTGTACATTGTTATCTTCTTAGGGGTTATCCATAGTACCAGAAACAGACAGGATAGCCTGTCCAAATACTATTAGTACAAATCTTTCTTTTCATTGAATTAAGCGAAAGTAGCTGTATATCTATCCTAACTGTTCTGTATATACAAATACAAAGTGGTCCTTCCTTTGTATCCCCTTCTTTTGTTTAGCCCTGTCAGAGATGGGTATTCCATTGGCATCTAAATACCATAGGTGCTTGGATTCAGTCCAACAATCCAACACAGTCCAGCAGTCCACACTAGTAGTGGGTTATTGGCCGAAGTTGTTGACTTGAGCCTTTCACAGCTCAGCATATTAATATGGCTTTACTTTATATACCTCATTTTTATACTTTTCTGCTGGATGAGTAAGACCAAGATAAAGCAAGACCTACATAACAAGAAACGTAACTTTTGTATCTGATAAGTCAGTCATGTACCCTCAGGATTTATCCTGTAACATACCATCTTGATTAGTGAAATTTTGTAGCAAGTTTTAAAATAGAGTAGTAGTGCTCTTCAGTTTTCTTCTGGCAAAATTGTTTTAGTTAAGTCTTTTATGCTTCCAAATACCTTTTAGAATCAGACTATCAAACTTAAAAAAATGATGGTAGAATTTCAACTAGTATTTTTGTTTTTTTACTTCACAGGTCACTTTGGGGAGAATTGGTATCCTAAAAATATTGCATTTCCAATGACAGCTCTTCTCTTAGCAATCATATATTCTTCTACGTCCTACATATATTTTGTTATACTTATCACCATGGAATTTTTTTGTTTGTTGTTTTGTTTTCATGTTTTGTTATTTCTGACACAGGGTTTCACGTATAGTCCAAGCTGGGCTCAAACTCCCTGTGTAGCCAAGGCTAGCCTTATGGTCTTGATCCTCCAACTCTAGCCGCTAAAAGCTAGGATTACAGGCATGTGACACCATGCCCGGCTGCAGTATTGTTTTGTATGCTGCTGTGACACTGTAAGAATTTCATTTTTCATTGCCAGTATTTAGACACATACAGTACTTGATATCTGCACACAGATCTTATATTCTACAACTTTACTGATTTTTAGTTGTTTTTTATGACAAGGTCTTGCTATGTAGATCAGGCTGACCTTGAACTTACTACGTAGCCTAGGCTGGCTCTGAACTCCTGTCAGTCTTCCTGCCTTGATCTCCTGAGCATGGTGATTGCAAGCATATGTCACAACACCTTGCTCAACTTTACTAATTTTACCAACAATTCTAATAGTTTTTCAAAGGTCTTCTAGAACTGGATACAGGGCTGGCGGGATGGCTCAGTGGTCTAAAGCACCTACTTGGAACAAGCTTAGCAAAGCACAGGGACCGCGGTTCGATCCCCCAGCACCACATGCCAGCCAGCCCCGCCCCCTGGTGGGCTGAGCTGACCCCCTCCACACACACACACTAAATAAAATGTAAAAAAAGAAACTGTTTCTTTAATTAAAAAAAAAAAAGAAAAAAAAGAACTGAATACAGCAATATATGCTGTAATCCCAGAATAACAGGAGGCTGAAGCAGGACAACTGCAAATCTGAGCTATACCTGGGCAATTTAGTGGGTCTCTGTCTCAAAATAAAAAGGAGATGGGATTAGGGATATAGCTCAGTGCAGAGATGCTGGGTTTAATTTCCAGCGTTGAAAGTAAATACCAAAATTAAAGATTCTTCAGAGCCTACATGCTGGGAAATCCTCGTACTTTAGCACTCTATGGACAGAGACCATAAGTTCAAACCCAGCCTGGGAAATTTATCATGCGTGCGCGCACACGGGTGCACGCACACACGCACACACGCACACACACACACACACCCCTGAAGATGCAGCTCACTGCAAAGACTCTGGGTTTGATACCTAGTACCAAAAATATGTAAATAAAATTTTAAAATATAAATGAGATTCTTTAGAATTTCTGCATACATGATCATGTTGTTTATGATGAAGGACAGTTTTACTTCTGTCTTTACACTTTGTATTGATTTTTAACTTTCCTTCTTGTTCAGATAATTTATCTCTAATAAAATGGTGAAGAGAAATAGATAATTTCATAACATCTCCCTATTTGTCCAGGAAGACCTGATTTTTAACAACCTCAGATTGATCAGTTCCTGCTAGACTCTTTGGGTATCATTTCTTTTCAGATATTTGGATTTGTGTTAGTTTGTTTCTACTAGAAAAGAATCATGAAGTATTAGTTCTCTATACTTAACTTTGAACATGTACTTAAAATCCTAAAATGCTTATAGGATCCCAAATCACCTCTTGTGATATACATAATAGGAAACACAGAGAAACATTTAACTACTTAGGAAAAAAACTTCTATTTTCTTAAGAGCCAATGAAAGAATAAATATATATGTATATGTACTCTTCAGAAGTTAAATTACAACAGACCAAAAAAAAAAAAAGTTAAATTACAACATTTTTGGTCTAAATTGATTTTTTTTCAATAAAATTTGAAGACAATTATTACTATTAAAATTCAGTCAAATATATATATTTTTTTTTTGCAAAGAACAGATGTTTTTAAATGATCTCCTTAGCTCTATACTCCTTTATATTGTCCTATTGTGAGTTCATGCTAAAGACAAAATACTGTCAAAAATATCTATTAAAGAATGAAGAGCTAGCCACATGTGGTGGCAGATGCCTATAATCCCAGCACTCAGGAATTGAGGTAGGAGGATTTCTTTGAGTCTGAGGCCAGCCTGGGCTACATAGTGAGTCAAGGCCAGTCTGAACTGTGGCATAAGACTCTGTCTCAAAAACCCCAAAACAACAAAAACCCAAAACACCACATAAATGGAATAAAGAACTTCAGTTATCTCTCCAAGAATTAGAAATTGCTGAGGACTAAGGAGATAGCTCAGTGGTCTATGTGCCTGCCTGGTAAGCACAAGGACCTGGGTTTGATCTCTGGTACTGCAAGCCATGCTGGCCCAGCGCTGGGCCAGCCACTAAAACTGGGTGCGGTGACATAAGCCTGTCATCTCAGCACTGGGGATGCTGAGCAAGGAGGATCACTACAAGTTTGAGTCACGTAGCAAGACCCTATACCAAAGAAATTAAAAGATTTTTTTAAAAAATTATTCACAGAAGTTACTGAATATAGCATGCTCCTTGTCAACAGCAAGCACAGCACATATACAGGTGTGTGAGAAAAACAGTCCTGGCTCTCCTGTAGTGTTCATCCTGCAGCACTCATAACTTGAGTTACTGCAGAAGATAGAGTCAGCAAAGACTTCAAGAGAAAATGATATTTAAAATGAAACCTCAAGGAAGAACAACAATCAGTCATGTAAGTGAGTGGGAAAGGAAGACAAAAGACCTTGACACAGGAAAAGAACATACAAAGTTTCAATGTTATAAAATTGGGAACATTACACCATTCACTGAGAAAATATGAGTAGACGCAGTACCATAAGAGGCAAAGTAGTTTAAAGAAACTTTAAATCTCAAGAGAATTAAAATAAATTTGTAACAATTAAGTTGGTAGGGGGAGAGCAAAACAATAGGAAATGAATCTGAAACATAACAGAAGGGTTACCACTGACAGCTAAGAGACCAGGACCAATTAGTGACTTCGGTTCCTGATTTGAGCAATCAGGAGACAGAAGCACCATTTACTATAAGAAACACAAGCCCTGGGTAGGAACAGCCAGACATGGTGACACTTGTCTGTACTTTTAGCATTCTGGTGGGCTAAGGCAATAAGGACACAAGTTTGAGTCCATCCTGAGCAATTTAGTGATCTAGTGAGACCCTATTTTAGGAGTTTTTAAATGGGAGAGGGGAAGAGCACAAGGGAGAAGCAATCTCTGTAGTCAGGGCAAAGACCAGGGTTCAACTCCCAATGCTATCTACTGTCCATCCCCTATAAAACTGCACAGTAAAGAAAAAAAAAAAAAACATAAAAATTTACCTAACTTTGCAAAGACATCTTTTTACTTAATGCATAAAAAAAATTATTTGAAGAAGTTCCTCCAGCTTCTAAACTATTATCTTGACTGGGTAACCGAGGAGAAAGGGGCAACCTGGTGCATTTTAGAATACACAGCATCTCTTGCTTCTACCTATCTGATGCCAGAAGTACCCCAAAAATATCTCCAGACACTGCCCAATATTCTCAAGAAGGAAAACAAACCCCTATAGAGAATCGCTGATCTGTACCACTGGAAAGGGTTACCACGACTAAAAATCAAGCTGCACAGATGTGCATACGTGTTTTTTAAAAACTTCTTTTCTTAGATAGTAAACTCCTAAGAGACAAGACCTTTACAAGTTATTCACTGTTGGGCTCCTTTACAGCACTATTACTATACTTGTGGGAGTTAAATAAGTACATATTAATGCATTTAAAAACCAGTTCTTACAGGCATGCTTAACTAGAATACGTGTGAAAGCCATTAACTAGTAGTTACTAAAATCCTTAAAGGAATGTGCTAATTTTAAAGTTGTAAACCTGGCAACACTATTAAAACAGGAAACAGTATAAAAGGGTACACAGCTCACCTGTAGCAGCTGGGTTTATCAATCCTGCAGAACCACTGTTTGCAATCTGTGAAGGTGGCTGGCTCAGCCCACTCGAAGGGGTCCCTAGCCGAGGAAACTGTTGGGAGCTCATTTCCACCTGTAGTGCACCACCATACAGTTATTCCTAGCTTGTACAGTTAGAACCAATACTGAGAAGACAGGGCATCTTTAGTATCCACAACCTTTTATAAAATAGCGAAAGCAGTATTATTTACCTACAATATAAACTTGTGATCACATAAGTGAAGACATCTGAATTATGAAGGCCACATGAGAGGTATCAAAAAGCATATGTATCTCTGTCTAAAGTTTTCTAGAAAACAGCATGTGTCTTTGAAAGCCTCAAACCTCACACTAAGGTAAACATAACTATAACTAATATGTCAGAAGATTCAGAGGAGAGATGCCAGCACCAAGAAAGGATTAGAAATACATTAACATCTGAAGCGAAAGGCATTCTCAAATTTTTTTTGTAAAGGCCTCCATTTACGGATTTTCTTTTTCTTCTCTTTCACAGACCCCCCACCCACCCTGTCCCTCGCCAAAGGGACTCCAGACTTCTACCTCTTTAAAAAACATTACCCGCTTTTGCTCTCAGGAGCCACGCTCTACTGATCTCCCCCGCTTGGCCCCTACCCCACCCGGAATCCCTGGTAAGATGAGAGGACAGGGATTTTCAGACCCTCGAGGGCTCCACTCCTTGTCCCAGGATGGGGCAGGCACCCTGAAGAGCCCCTCGACAGGGTAGGCAGGGTACCTGTGGCCGCCGCCCGCCACCCGCACCTCCCGCTTCCTCGGTGCTGGCCTGGGGGTGCCGTAGAGGGCCCATCCCAGTGGCATCGCTGGGCTCCGAGGACAAGGACAGAGCTCACGCCGGAACGCTCTGGGCTCGCCGCTGTCCAGTCCCGCCGGCCCCACTCACCCCGCCACCCGGCCGCAGCTAGGCTCCTAGTCCTCTTCCCCCGAACCAGCCCCTTCCTCTCCCGCCCGCCCATTGGCTCCACGCCCAGAGCGTCACTGGAGGACCCACACCAATCCTCAGCGGCCTGCGCGCTCTGGGCCCGCCCCACCCTCCCGCCGACCGCCGGCCAATCAGGCGGGAGTCTTGCTGGGGCGGCCCAAACCCCTCGAGGCTGGGCCAATAGCAGAAGGAGACAAGCACTCTCGACCAGAGGGGCGGGGAGCGGGGAGGCCCCGCCTCGACCGGGGTCTGAAAGCGGCGGGCGCAGGGCCCGGATGTGGAGAGTCACTTTAAACTGCTCCAAGAGCCAAACTCCCTGGGCCGGCCGCCCGCCCGCCGGCCGGCCGCCCGCTACGGGCCTCTCCGCTTACCCGCCGAGGCCCACGTCCGCCACGCCCCCACGCCCAGGTCTGCCCACCTCTCCTGGTGTCTCTCTCTTCCTCGCCACAGGGCACCCTGCAACTGCAGCCGCCTCAGTCGCGGTGTCCAGCTTGCGAAAAGAGCCGCAGCTCAAGCAATGGGAGCCAAGGCACCGCTGCCCTTCGCGGGTACGCGCAGCGGGGTAGACACTGCAGTCGGGTTTGGCCGCCCCGCCCCCTCGCCTCCTCCCCTGCCCTCCCGGGCGCCCGTCCCGCCATTACCTGGGTGCTTCGCCGAGTGGCCACCGCGCCGCCTCGAGCTCCCTCGCGTGCGCTCCCCGCCGTGAGGCCGACGTCCTCGGGTTCCAGACCCGCGCCGCCGGGGCGCTAGCACTCTGCCCCCCACCCCTCACTCCTGCGCCGCCGCTTCCGCCGCCGTAACGAGCCTCTGGCGGACTGGCGGGGCCTAGCTCCGCCCACCTTCCAGAAAGCCATTCAGCTCCTAGCCTGAGCCGGAGCGCGGACGGTCCTGCCCCCCGGCGCCGCGGTGGCCTCTGGGAAGTGTAGTTCCAGGCGCCCAGGGGCGGGTCGCGAAGGAGGTGGCCCACGCGGGGGCGGGGCCTTAGACGGCGGGCCGCGCGGCGCAGCGCGCCGCTTTACTTTGTGCAGCCTGGTCAGCTTTTCCTCTTTTCGGAGAGGGAAGGTAGTGGATTCCCCGCTTCGCCTCAGCCTGACAACACTGGGTTTCATTTTTCCGATGTGCGGCGGTACGAGGCGGGAAGGCTGGTGGAGTCCCGGCTGGGCCGCGAGCGGAGCCTGGGCGTCTCGAGTGTGGCCGCGTCCCCGCGCCGCGCTCCGCGGCCGTCGGTCGGAGCCTCGGCACGGCGGGAGGGCCGCCCCGCGCCGGGACGGCGGTGTCGGATCCGCGCTGGTTCCGGCTGGCCAGCCGCTAGGAATCGGACCTAGTTCTGGACGGCCCGCCCGCGGTCCGCGGCCCGGAGAAGCGCGGGGCGAGGCTGGAGTGGAGAGCTGGCCGGCCGGCCGGCGCAGGTTCTAGGCAGACTGCTGAGACTGACTTTGGCTCTGATAGCAAATGACAGCTCCCCTTCCTGGGTGCTGTTGAGAGCAGTGATTAGTTTAGAAATAAACGGAGCTCACATCCCTTCTTTCTGTCCTGCACAATCGTGTAAGCCAGCAGCTGCTTGGTGAGGAGAGAGCAGCACCTGGCTGCAAGGAGTCGCACGCACCCCTCTCTGGGGCCAATTTTTTTTTTTTTTTCTTTTCCTTAATGTCTTCGTTCTTAAATGTCTGAAAATAACTGACATAATGTACTGCAGCCTGCTCTCTAGGTAGTTTACTCCTTGTTGGTGTCTACTCTCCTTATCCTGACAAATTGCTCCCCCAAAGTGACCAGTACCTATTCAGTTTCAAATTCAGTGGTCATGTCTATATCTTCTTTCACTGAGCAGTAATTCCTTAAAACATGATTTCCTCTTCTTCTAGGATTAAATGTAGTTTCTCCAAGCACGTATGATTTTTAGTTCTATATTGTCTTCCACAGTGGCTTCATGTACTCTCAGTTTCAGTTATCCTTGAAGATTTTCATACCGTGAACTCTTGAAGTTTACATCCGTAGTTCCACTTTGCTGTACCATCATCATAGATACCTAACATTCCCTTGAGCTTAAAATATTGAACATCTGTACTGCTTTATCTCCCCTATGTATTCCTACAGATTCCTAGGTTCCTTTATTGGCATCACCTTCCTTTCTGTTTTTAAATTCATGCTGGTTTCACACACTTTTCCATTTGCCAGAATCATTGTATTGCCTGATCGGTATCTGTATCTTTTTTCCATTTATTTCCAGTCCTCGTTCAACTTTCATTATTAAAAAAAAGTTTTTATTTTTTATTTTATTTTTTAAAATGTTTTTAAAGAATATAAAATGGTAATTAAAGCAGGATTAGAAGTGATACAAAATTTCACTAAACAAAGTAGTGGGAATTCAACAATGGTTGCTGTATTGCATGATGTTATCTTCAAATTAGTTGTTTAGGTTACCAAATATATCAAATTAGTTGTTTAGGTTACCAGATATAACCTGCCAAATTGGTTTAAGAAAACAAAACAACAATAACAACAACAAAAAATTATAAGAAATTTTTTTAAAAAGACTGAAAAGAAAAAGTTTTGGGCTGGTGAGATAGTTCAGCAGATTGAAGTGCCTGCTTTTAGGCAGCCGCAGGGACAAGGGTTCGATCCCCAGTGTGCTATGCCGGCCCTGCGGAAAAGACTGTGATTCAGACTGGGTGTGGTGGCATTTGCCTCTAATTGCAGCACTTGGAGGCTGCGAACAGGTGGATCTCTAGGAGTCCAATCTGTGTAGGGAGACCCTGTATACGCTATGCTAAATACATTAAAAAAAAAAAAAGAAAAAATTTTAAGCATTAACTGCTCATTTCAAAAGACCAGCAGAAGTTGGTGGTACAATTATCCAAATTATCCTGTATATATACATCAGTATGGCTTTTCCCCATCTTTTGTCCTTTTCCTCATCCCGATTTTTCCTTCCCATTGAACACATTCTTCCCTTTTCACAGTACCTGTTGTGCCTTTAAGATTTTATTTATTCTTTCAGGTTCTTGCACTAGTGAGACAATACAATGTTTGCACATGTGGGTCTGATTTATTTGACTTACCAATAGTCTCTAGTTGCATGCATTTATCTATGAAAGCCTCAAATTTATATTTTTTATAGCTGAGTAATATTCATTGTGTAAAAATACTGTATCTTTTTTTATCTGTTCCTCAGTTGATGGGCATTTGGATTGTTTCCAAGATTTAGCTATAACAAATTGTGCTGCTATAAACATGGGGGCACATACATCATTGTGGTATGATTTCAGTTCTTGTGGAAAAATACTAAGGGAATAGCTGGCTTGACTGGGACCTTCATTCCTAGCTTTTCGAGAACTCTCCATACTGATTGCCATAATGGTTGTACCAGCCTGCACTCCCACCAACAGTGGAGAGGATTCCTTTTCCCACAGCCTCACCAGCATTTGTTATTGGCTGATTTCTTCATGATGGCCATTCTTTCTGGCATACGATGGTATCTCAGTGTTGTTTAAATTTGTATCTGTTGAAGGACCAGTGATGTTGAACATTTTTTCATGTATTTATTTGCCATCTGTATCTCTTCATTTGTGAAGTGTGTATTCGTCTCAGATGCCCATTTTTGGATTGAGTCTTTGAATTTTGAAGGTCTGATTTTTAAAAAATTCTTTATATATTCTTGATAGGAGTCCTTTGCCCAAAGGACAGTCGGCTATATTTTTTTCTCAATTTGTGGGTTTTTGTTTAACTCTGTTGGTGATTTCTTTTGATGCACAGAAACTTTTCAAAAAGAAGAGATCCCAATTGTTGATTCTTTGAAGTATTTCTTGTGCAGTTTGATTTTTTTGTTCATAAGCTCTCTCCACCTAGCCCTATGTCCTTAAGATTTCTACCTACTTTCACCTCCAGAATATTTAGTGCTTCAGTTTTAATACTTAAATCTTTGATCCATTTTGCTGTAGTTTAGTGAACAATGATAGACATGGGTCTAATTTCAGCCTTTGGTATGTGGAAAGCCAGTTTTTTCAGCACCACTTATTAAAGAGGCTATCTTTCTTCCAGTGAATATGTTTGGCCCCTTTGTCAAAGATAAGGTGGCTGAGTGTGTTTGTAGTTGTGTCTGCATCTTCTAATCTGACCCACTGATCCTCAGGTCTGTTTTGTTTTGTTTTGTTTTTTTTTTTCCAGTACCATGCTAATTTTATCACAGTAGCTTTGTAGTATGTTTTCAAGTCAGAGATTGATGCCTCCTGCCTTTCCTTTGTTATTCAGGATTGCTTTTACTATTCTTGTTAACGTTCATTATTTAATTAACTTTTTTTTTTTGAATTGGGGTTTCACTATGTTGCCTAGCCTAGTCTCAGATTTGTGGCTCAGTGATCCTCCTATTTTGGCTTCCTGAATAGCTGGGACTATAGACATACACCATGCCCAGCTTAAGGCTTCGTTATTTTTATAGAATGTTTTCCCTAGTCAGACCTTTTCCTATTCTTCATTTGTCCTCCATAGAATTATTTTCTTAATTCACTAATGTAAGTCCATCTTTTCCATCTGTGGTGTTTCATCAATCTCAGGATACACCCCAGACCCCTAATCTTAGTTTTCAAAGGCTTAATGATTTAGTCCCTCCTCCCTCTCCAAACATTGGACATTAAACAATAGTTTATATTCTTTCTCTTCACAGTTTATTTTATTTTTTTTAAGGGAGGAAAAGTTTATTTGGCTCATATTTTGTAGAGGTTTCAGTCCATAGTCAGCTGGTTCCAAGGCAGAGTGGCAAAGTAGCATGGTAGAGGTGAAACAGCTCATGGTGTGGCAGGGCAGCAGGCAGCAAGGGATGACAGCAGCAGAAGTAACAGCCTCTCTGCAGTTTAGCTTCCAGGGTTTTACTCTAGCCTGAAGTTCCTCCTATGAGTGGCCTCAATCTCAGCAATCATCTAGATTAAATGGAAAGCAAAGAATTACTTCAAGAAGGCTTAATCAAATTACTTTCCTCCTGCCACCCTTTAGGTACTTCCATGGGTTGGGTCTTCCTCAGGACTTCTATTACAGCAGTAATCTGAGTCTACTTGTATTTCTCCTAGAGCAGGCAAAGAGAGAAATGACTCATCTTTATATCTCCCAGCAACAAGGTGAAAAATGTTTTGCTGAATGTAATTATATGAATGAAATCTGAGTTCTTTGAATTTCTAGGAATTACCTGCTGCTTTATTCATTCATGACTATAGTGACCACTTAAAAGAAAATAGCCCCTTCACCCATTGTTGTACTGTTAGTATCTAGACCTCCCATCCACTGATCATGCATAAGGGACCCACGTGGATCTACTGAAGACAGACCTGCTGTTCCAGCGAATAAGTGAATCTTCCACATTCCCCAAGTGTTCAGGCTAGTTTCAGGGGTTTATTGAATTGTTGGCTTTTTGAAAATGATTGTCTACTCCACATAGCTTGAATGAATTGAGCAAAATATAGCCATCTATCAGCTGGGTGGTTTTCTAGAGAAAAAACAAGTAACTACTACCTTCTGTCAACAAAGAGGTTAGGTTCTTCTGGTGTCTTGTGGTCAGTTAAATGTCAGCTAATGATCTGTGAGTGTTGGTGAAACTCTAGTGGGCTTTTATTTTATATCACTAAACCCACATGGTTCTCATGTGTCACCACCTGAGCGATCTGATCCTTTGTGTTTCTTCTCTGTGTGGATACTTCCCTTGGCCCAACTTCCTGGCCAGGAAACGTCTAGTTTTTTCCATTTCATTCCTTGGCAATATGAGCTTGTCATTACTTACATCCGTCTTAGTTTAAAGATTAA